GGGTCAGCAGCAGATAGCCACAAGCTCTATTCTTTCATCAAGTCTCACAAGGAGGTTAGATGATAGATATGAATAGTACAGGGAAGGATCACATACTGATCAAATGGTAATCCACTGCCTTTGAGTTGATTTGACTCATAGCAACCCTTTAGGGAGGAGTAGAACTGCCCCATAGGGTTTCCAAGGCTGTAAATCATTACAGAAGCAGACTGCCAGATTTTTCTCCTGAGGTGGGTTAGAACCCTTTAGGTTGACATTTGAGCGCTTTAACCACTGTGTCACCAGAGCTGATCAAATGTTAGAGGCAGAAATTCAGTCCTATGATCTAAGTCCTTGCTACAAAAAAAAAAAAAAAAAAATGACAAAACCCAAACTCACTGCCATCAAATCATTCCGGCTCATAGCAAGCCCTCCTTGGGTTTACGAGGCAATATCTCTATGGAAGTAGATTGCCCAGTCTTCCTTCCGAAGTCCCTGCTACAGTTGTGTCTTACTAATTACTGCTGCAAATGCAGACGATGGTAGTACTAAAACTGCTTATGTGTGCAGCAGGCTGTTCTTTATCAGACACTGTCAGGATAGATTGGCTACAAGTCTCTCTTCATAATCTTCTTTCCTTGGATAGCAAGGAGTGCTGGTGGTGCAGTGGCTAAAGTGCTTACCTACCAAGTGCTTAGCTGCTAACTAAAAGGTCAGCTATTTGAACCCACCAGCTGCTCCATGTCATAAAGATGGTGGCAGTCTGCCTCTGTAAAGATTACAGCCTTGTAAACTCTATGGGATAGTTCTAATCTGTCCTGTAAGGTCCCTAGGAGTTAGAAGCAACTCGATGGCAACGGATTTGGTTTGGTTTTGGTTTCTTGGATAGCGATACGCCAATCTTTGGGTGGCAATCTCAATATCATCATCATATTATCAGAGAGTATTTTAACTTCTTTTGTTTTCTAGTTTTTATTGTGATTTGGGTAAAAGTTTACAGAGCAAATTCATTTTCCATACAGCAGATCATACACATTTTGTCTCATGACATTGACTGGAATTCCCTACAATGTAACAGTTCTCTTCACACTTCCTCCCCATAGTTACCTCTTCCCTGTGTCCTTCCTTCCCATGCACTCCTGCCCCCTGAGCTGTCTCCCTGTGCATACAGTGCCCTACTGTTCTCCTGTGATTGATCGCTCCAAGTAGTGTATCTACCTGATGTAAATGTTCAGCCCATATGCCTATCTATTATCTGGCCGGAAGCCACAGGAGTGAGTTGAATTCCAGACCTAACGGTGGGGGCCATAGTCTCAGGATTTCACCAGTCTCTATCAGACCTGTAAACCTGGCCTTTTTTTTAAAAAAATGATTTTGAGTTTTGTTCCACATTGTTCTTCCACTCTATCCAGGATCTCCTACACAGAACCCCCTCCAAGTGGTTGACAGTGATAGCCGGGCACCTAATTCTTCTAGTCTTATGGTCATATAGGCTGAGGATCGCATGGTGTACCAGTCCCTTGGACTAATTGTTTCCATGCGTCTTTGATTTTCTTCATTCTTTTTTGCTCTGGATGAGGAGATGGCCACTTGCAAGCTTTTAGGATCCCAGTTGTTACTCACCATAGGATGTAGAACAACGTTCTTATGTAATATGTTATACCAATTGATCTTGATGTCCTCTGTGACCATGGTCCTGAGCCCACAGGTCCAACTACTCACTCCCTCCAGGTAGCCAGCTGTGGCTAAGGAGTCACCACAACCTTGTCCCTTGTCAGCTCTACTATATACCTGGACATTCTTACAGCACATACAAATATACTTGTAGAAACATCATCTGCCAACCCTATAGGTGGTCATGGGCACACTACCCCCTCCTTCGACATACCTGATCATTCAGCCTGTAGATCATCTATCCACTTGTAGATCAATATTTGCCATCACTGACGATGCAGTACTGTATATGCAAAAGGGTTCAACTTTGTTATCTGTACCTCCCATGTACCTCTCTATGTCTTCCTCTTCCTCAATGCCACCATGTTGATCACTCATATTTGGTGCATTGCCCTTCCCTTCAGCCAAATCAATGCTTGTTGTGACCTATCCAGCAGTATTGCTTCTCTTCCCCCCACCCCCACCCCTGGTAACCAAGAAAGAAAGTTTCATTCTATATATAAAACTTTCCTTGGCTTTTTACAATAATGAACTAATACAATATTTGTCCTTCTGTAATTGGCTTATTTCACTGAGCATAATGTCCTATCAGAGAGTATTTTAAGGGTTAAATTGAATACCAAACCAACAGCCAAACCCACTGCCATCTAGTCAGTTCCAACTCACAGCAACCCTATGGACAGGGTAGAATTGCCCCACAGGGTTTTCAAGGTGATTTCTCCCATGGAGTGGCTGGTGGATTCAAACCACCAATCTTTTGGTTAGCAGCTGAATGTTTTAACCATTAAAACATTCAGGAGCCACCAGAGCTCCTAAAATTGAACACAATAGTGTGCAAAAACATAACTATAGAGTGTTAGTATCTATGCTCCAAAACTGGAGACAGAAAGCATTGATGTACATATATATACAAGGCAAAGAAAGTTGAATAAAAATATTCAATAAGTAGATACATGAATTGCAAAGTAAATAAAATTCTATTTTGTGTTTAGGAATAGTGTGTGTGGCAGGAACTGAGTACTAAAAATATGTCATTCAAGATCCTGTCCAAGGGGATTATTGGAGATCTGCAATATTCATGATTGAGAGGCACGTATACTAGTGTCGTGGCTATGGAGTCCAGTATAGCATTTCATTTAACTGTTGACTCCTGGACTGACCAGGTGTGACTTTTAGAAATTCTTCTCTCTCTGTCTCTCTCTCTTTTTTTTTTTTTTTACCAGTTGTCTTCAAGCTGGTCTTCAAGCTGGTCCTGACTCATGGTGACCCCACATGATTCAGAGCAGAACTTCAATTGATAGGGTTTTCAGTAATTGTAATCACCAGGCTTTTCTTCCACTGTGCCACTGGTGGATTCATTAGTAGTTGAATGCAAACCAGGAAACTTCTCTTTTCCATAGCTCTCCCACATCCTTGTCATGCAAGATTAGCAGATATGGTGGTTACAACCAATGCCTTTTAAACTGTTTGTGATGGGACTCACTCACTGCCCTCGAGTCAGTTCCAACTCATAGCGAGCCCTTCTTGGGTTTCCAAGGCGGTATCTCTATGGAAGTTGGTGCCTAATCTTCCTTCCAAGGAGTGGCTGGTGGGTTTGAACTGCCAGCCTTCTGGTTAGCAGTCAAATGCCTTAAGGACCACACCACCAGTTGTGATGAAGGACCTTTGAAAAAATTTCCAATCTGTGACAGATCAATATGTTTGTAAAATACAATGAAAATAACTTACTAGGAAAAAAAAGTACAAACCCCAATATATTTTAATAATTCATTCAACAGAAATAAAAATACTCTGTCAAATTACTACTTTAAACTTAATTTTTACTTTTTATTGTGATATGGGTGAAAGTTTACAGAGCAAATTGGACTTCCATTCAATTAAATTGCTATTAAAGTTTTTAATGCTTACTCTCAATTTCTATCCTTAGTTTCAAATTTTGCATTAATCTTTGGACCATATTTTGAGTAGTGCTCACTTACACTAGTGACTTCTAGGGTTAATAAAATTCTGAATGGTACAGGAATGAACATGATCTACATGCCCCTTTAAAAGGGCTTTGTTTGTGGTGAGGTTGAAAGTAGTTTGATATCTGCAGAGACTCTAGTGAAACAGTGGTTGGAGCCTAGAATAAATCCACTATGACTTAGCTGTCCCTTCAGGCATATCTCTTATATTCCACCATTAAAATTAAGAAGATAGTGACAGCACTAAGTTTGGCATATGGGGAGTAGGAATTGGAGAAGGCTTTAGTCCATCTCATAATCTTCATCAGCTATGCTTCTCCTTTCCATTTCTCCCCCCTTTTTATAATTCTTCAGTGAATTTTATTAATTTAAATGTGGAGTTCCTTATGAGAAATAAAAAATTAAAGCTAAGTTGTACAAGCATACACAATGAGACAAACCAGTGATGAGGCCTGCTCAGACAAAACCAGAGCAGTTGTCAATTCATACCACAATCCACATAAAGGTGTTTTTCTTTAGCACAAAGGAGCTCTGGTTGTTCAGTGGTTAAGGCATTTGGCTGCTAACCAAAAGGTCAGTGGTTCAAACCCATTAGCCAGTCTGCAGGAGAAAGATGAAGCAGTCTACCTCTGTAAAGATTTACAGCCTTGGAAACCCTATGGGGCAGGCAGTTCTACCCTGTACTGGTAGCATAGTGGCTAAGTCACTTGCCTGCTAACCAGACGGCTGGCGGTTCAAACCCACCAGCCACTCCTC